GGTCCGCACTGCCTGTAACGACATCACACCCGGGCCAGGGAGTGCAGGTGCTCATTGCAGACCGGCAGCCAGATGAGAGGGAGACTCCTGCCAGGCTGCCCGGGAGAGCGATTCTAAGGTGTCGAGGGAGGGGAAGGTGCAGAATCAGGGCTTGGAGAGTGACAGCCACGCACGTGTTTTGGGAGCAGGTGAGAGCAGAATCAGGAGGGTGGGACTAACTGCAGCCTTTGCAGGAGCTTGAGACGGGGGCCTGTGGTAGGGAAGTGAAGGATTAGCAAAGGTGCTTTCCTGCGACACCTCTTCTCCCTGGAGCTGTGCTCAGACAGAGACAGAATGGGGCCCTGGTTCTCACTGTGGTGCCTGATCCAGCACGTTAGCCTCCCCTGGAACTTGACAGAAATGCAGATTCTCAGGCCCCACCCAGACCACTGAATTGGAGGCTCTGGGGCAGGCCCAGGACCTGGGTTTTCACAAGGGCTCCAAGTGAGGTTTGAAAACCATGGGTCTAGGCAGAGTAACGAAGGTGCACAAAGCCCTCTTTCCCCAATCCAAGCCTTTCCCTGCTCTCCCTGTGGCTGCCCAGCAGGCCCTGAGTGCTCAGGGGCATGCCAGGCTGGAGGGCAGGCTCTCTCCTGAGGGTGCCTGGCTCACGAGGAGCAGGTGTGGCCTCTGAAGCCCAGGCCAGAGAGGGCTCCCACCCTCCACCCGAGGCTATGATCTGGAGACCCAAGCATTGGGACGTTGGGGTGAATAGGAGTTTGCTGCAGGAGGAGCCCCAGGCTGCTATTCCGGATCAGATCACGTGTGCCTGTAACACAGGCAGGCTGCTTTGTTAAGCACTCCCCAAAACATGGTGATGTGAGAGCTCTCCTTCCACCCATTTTAGAGATGGAGACACTGGGCCTGCATGGGTCATTTGCCGAAAGTCATCCCAAGTGTAAGCGGAGGGGCTGGGCTTGGGGTTAAGGTTGGGAGGTTGGAGGGCGTTTGGAGGGTGGAGTCAGGTGGGGGAGGACCTAGGTGAGGGGACCCAGACCTCCCCTCACCCCACCAGCTCCAGGAGATCCCCCTCAGGGAGGACAACCTGGTTACATGGGTACTCTGTGATTGTGAAGAATTTTTTAAATGTTTATAATGGCGTTTGTCATAAAGGAGTTTTAGCTGTGGAGAAAACGTTTATTGGTCTATCACAGTACTGAATTGACTCTTAGTAACTCACTGTGAACAAGGACGAGGTTGGGGAAGTGACTCCCCAGGGCCAGGAAGGACGCTGCTAGCTGAGGAAGGCTCTGGGCAGAGCTCCTGGGCCACACGGGGGATCCCACACTATGAGCCTCCAAAGAGGCTTGCAAAAGCACTCATCAACCGGCCCTTGTTCTGAAAGGGGAAAAAAAAAAGGACAAAGCTAAGGCTACTTTAACCTGCCAACATGCTGCTCACTTGAGTCTCCTTTTGGAGAGCTAGGGCTGATCCTGGGGTAGGATCCACCCAAATAACCCCGGGAGAAGATAGATGTGAGCAGGTGTCCGCAGGGGGTGGCGTAGGACACCTCACAAACATGAGAAGTGATCAAAAACCCAAGGATTGTGACTGCCCCCGGCCCCTGGCCTTGACTTTCTGCCAGGTAAGGCGCTGAGAAGACTTCCCCCAGGTTGGAGTAAATGTTCCTCCGCTTATGCATAGGCTCAGGCTCCTGTCTTGTTTTGCCAGGTGTTCGTGAAGGGGGTGGAGGAGCGCCTGGAAGACTAAGGAGGCAGAGAGAGTCCAGGTGAGTCAGAAGACAGGCCGAGAGGGAGGCATCATCTTCTGGCAACTACGGGATAAACAGAGAAGGAAAAGGAGACGAGCAGAGGCTGTCCGGGAAGCTACTTCCAAACCGGAGATGCCTTGCATTCAGCAGGGGTTCGCCTGAAGTTACCGAGTGGCAGACGGAACACTCGCAGGCACTCGGAGCGACCCGTGACCTGGGGCCTCGGGAATGGGTCCCCGGCCTATGGCTGGGGATGCCTCCTTCTTGGACAAGGCGCCCGCCTTCGGGCCCGTCCTGTGGCTGACCAACCCCCCACCCCTCCTGGGGCATGAGCACTGACCAGAGCGAGGGGGCAGGGGAACCTAGCTCCTGGGCCAGTGAACAGCTGCTCTGAGAGGGTGATGTCCAAGTTCGGAGCCTCGGAGAATCAAGTCATCGCACCGGGTCAGGACGACTCCGGGCCCCTTAAGACTCTCTGCCTGTTGTGTGCTGGAGAGAGTTGATTTTTTAATTTCCGTTCTTAAAGCCCAGGCACGGAGTGGGGCATCACATGTGGCCACTGGGTGGGAGGATATCAACCTGCCAGCGGAACTTTGCTAGTAACTCCCGCGGCCTCCCGGCAGGTGCCACCCAAGCAAAGCAGCTCACCTGAGCGGCTGACGTGCGAGGTCCATCAGGTGTGGTGGCACTCAGCGCTGAGTGATTTAGCCCCCGGCCGAGCAGTGAGACGGGGCGTGGGCACAAACTGGGTAGATTAGGTAGAATCATTAGACTTCTTGCTAGGGCGTGTTAGGTTCACGGGGAAGTGGCTGGTGGGGTAGCTTCGGTCTCACTTTACCTGGCCAGGTGGGCTGAGCCCGTGGTGTGTGTGCCCTTCCTGCTCCCGGGTACTCGGGGTCAAACTCCAGCTCGGGGTCTCCGGCCACAAAATAAAACTCCTCTGCAGGAGATGCGGGAGGAACCTTATGTTCAGATGCTGTTGCTAGACAGTGAAGTTTCTAAAATGAGGTGAGAAGCACCAGGGATTTTTTTTTTTTTGGGTGGGGTTTTTGGATCTTTTGTTTTCAGAGAATGCTCCACCATCATTACTTCTGGAAGCCTGACCAGCTTCTGCACGGTGACCTTCTCTGAGGCCAGACACAGGGTCATCCTGAATAATACTTGTTCGTATGGCTCATCTTCTCTGTTTCTCCCTGCTCAGTATGTCAGAGATGGTAAATGCATTAGGATCTTGCTTTTGATTTTTAATTTTTGGACTATCTGGTCTTAAGACTGGGAGTTAGAAACCCTTGCAAGGGCCCAGAACCCACTGCAGATACTAATCTTTCATCATTCTCATGTGATTTCGATTTTTCTTGAGATTTGGTGGCTGAGGTCAATGTGGTCAGCATGAGTGAGAAGGGGAGGGTCATCTGTCAGCTTCACTAGGAGCTGGATGTGTGGTCTTGGACGCAGGGACCCTCTTCCCGGTGAGGCCATCCCTCCCTCCCCCCTACCTCCTCTCTCCCCGCCTTTCCTCCCCCTTCCCCCTTCCTTTCTTCTTTCTTCCCATCCCCTACCCTCCCCACCTCCCTCCTCCTTTACCTCCCTCCCTTCCTATAATTACTAAGGGCCTATTATGGGCTTAGTCCTGAACCTGGAGAGACTATGCAAGGATGAACGCCCACTTCCCTGTTGGGGAGCAGGTGCTTTACTCAGGTCTCACCAGACCTGTGTTTTTAACCTAGCCCTTCATTCCCTACTCCTTTGGTAATATTTGGAATACTGAGAAATTAAAGCAAAGGTACGCCTGTGAAGAATATGGATTCCACCCCCAAACTCATTGTCAGTAGACGTACCAGAGATGGCCAATGTGGACAATTCCCATGGGAACATCTTTGTATGTGAGAGAGATTTGGAAATTCCAGACACAAGGAAAACGGCTAGGCAAGTTGATTTGTTGAGTGAGAGCCCTAAGTTAAAGGGTCATCTGCCTCCAACTCTGGAAAAGCCTGAACAAGGTCCAGGGGCCATCTCTCTTGACCGCTAAGGAGTTGCATAAAAAGGATGTGGTAGGCTTGATGATGCACTGTTCCCACAGATACTTGACTACGATCATCTGTAATAAAAATCTATGAGAAGAGAGTCAGGGCTGGCCCACAAACAAGTTTCAAAAGCAAAGGGTTTCCTCAATCATTCGTATCTTTTGACGAGAGGTCTTATGTTAGCTTTGCATGAGATTTACGACACGATAATTTTCTTAGCTTTGTAACCTCTATCCCAACTGAAGGATCTCTAAGTCACTGTGGCCACTTGTGCTCTCTTCAGACAGCGGACCCAAGCTGGCCAGAGCCCCAAAGCTGTGGTCGGGAGCCTCGAGTTCCAGGCAGTCACCTGGATGTGTGTGGTGGAGGGTCATCTGTCAGGCTGCAGACCTGGACTCCCACGCTAAGCCCGAGGCATCAGGCAGGGGCCGCATGAAGATGGATTTTGGAACGTTTTCAGATGAGCAGATAATAGGTGCTGTATAAATGTGCCAAGGTACTGCAGTTTGCCTTAAGACAGTCCTTTAAGAACAGCCTTTAAGAGTGGCGCCTGGGTGGCTTAGTTGGTTAAGCATCTGCCTGTGGCTCAGGTCATGATCTCAGGGTCCTGGGATCGAGCCCTACATCGGGTTCTCTGCACACCCCTGCCTCCCCAGCTCATGCTCGATTGTGCACTTTTTCTTTCAAAATAAAATCTTAAAAAAAAATAGCTTTTACCCTTTTACCCTGTCACTGAGAACGTTCACATGATCTCTTGTGTTCACTATTGTTTTGTGTGGTTTTTTTTTTTAACTAAGTGATGCCTCACCAAATGATAATGAGGCAAGCTTATATGAGAAATACAAATTAGGTCCTGAATTACTCCACTACTTGGGCAGAAAAGTTGAGCTCTATGTGCTTCTTGGTCTAATTTTCTCCCAAACTGAGTTATCTACCATCAGACAAAATTTGCTAACAGCCTCACTATTACAGATCAATGTCACTGCTTGCAAGAGATGCTTACTTTCCTCTTATATAAGCACAGCCTTTGATAATTAATCCTGATAACACCAATATAGAGACCCCAATACTTGACATATTATTCAATGGCTCTTGGCAGAAAGGAAAGGCATCTCACTTGAATATGATAGAATACTATAAAAATCTGTATTTTACTGCCTTTCGTGAGAAATTTAACTATTTTGAGAAATAATTTTATAGTCTACCTGGCTGATTTTCCTTTATACTTAACTATTTGCTTTATTTTTAAAGAAGATACATGAAAATTGGTGACAATATACAACATTCTCCATGAACCAAACCTAGGAGAGATTAAATTTTGCCCCAAGTGAAATAGCTAAATTCAGTGGATTTTAATTACTTCTGTCCCCATGGGCTTTTTTTCTTCTTAATTTCTTATATTTTCCCCTTAGGTTGCATGATTAATTTGCAAGTTGAGTCCCATACTGTCCATGAAGCGAAGCAGAATGTATGACAGAGGAGGTGTTTAGGTGCCACCTTTTGAGCACTAAGCAAGGTTTTTCCGACGTCGGCCTGTGTCAGTGCGACAGAACGAGGGTCACCTGTGGTCACACCTCAGTGCTGCTGGGCTCTGCAGCGGCTCACTCCAACTCCGGATCATTAGAATCCCGGTTTCTTGTGGAGATGGGCAGCTTGGCATCATGTGAGGCCCTTCCCGTGCCCTATTTTTCATTCTGGGGTTGTTTAGAAATCATATTTTCTTGACTCTGAAGAGCAGCCCATGGATACGTTTTTACGGGGTAGCAGTAACTTCCGGAATACATGTTGGGTTTTTTTTTTTTCCCCGTGAATGAATCCCGAGGCCTAGGAAGTTGCCCCTCCCTGCCCATCGTATTTTCTCTATATTGCTTTCTCTAATAGCTCTTTTGGTGCTGAGATTCTAAACGTAAAGCTTAACACTCAACCAGCGTAAGCAACATTCTTATGGAAAGCCGCCTTAATGTTGGCTTATGCATGAAATGGAAATGGCTTGTGTTATCCATCCTTTAAAAAATTTCTAGTGCTCAGCCTCCATGAAATGGATTGCTTATGGGGAGATAATGTCTGTTCTATTCCTTTTTAAGTCTGTGAAAAATGTCATCCTGGTTAATAGGGTGATTAAAACTCTTTATGCTCCAGGAGATAAATGTGATTATGTTTGTCATACTCTACCCAAGATAAAGACAGCAAAAAGGCAAACTTGAAATTCCATAACATTTCCTCTCTTCCATATCCAGGAACATTCAGAACTCAATACACAGATGGTACTTCACATAAAGAATAACATTATCTGTTAAACATTTTTCCTTTCCATTAACCAATTTAACAATATGCCTCTGGTATAAAAGGAATAGACAAATGACTAAATCTTCTGAGGTTTGACTGTAGAAAAATACCACTTCAGTCATATTGCTTGTTTTCCTTTAAACTTTCATCTGTGTTACTTCATTTCTGCTTTTAAAATGCAACTGCAGCCTATGCCTGGTGTATTCTAGGGAGTCTATCCCCGTCAACCTTCCCTCTGCAGGTGATTCACGATCATTCTTTGGGGCCACCTTGCCATTCCTCAAGGACAACAGACATATATGAGAAGGGTTTGTAAACAAGAGGCATGCCACAGAAGTATGTGTCCGAACATTCATTCCTCAGGCCTCCCATATCCTAGGCCTGTGGGAATGGAGCATACCCACCGTGCCCCTAGACTCAGGCCGGTAATATGGACACAACCTGTTCAGTTTGGCTCTTGCCTTTCCTTCCTTCCTCCCATTCAGAGGCTAGAAATCTTTTCTTAGCAGAGATTTAGTTAAAAATGAAAGCTGGGTGAAGAGTTTTAGCTGCTCCAAATGCCCTGATAAATTCCACAGTTCTTTCCTTTTAGTCCTGGATTTTTAACAGGTTACATATGAATCCCAGATGCTGCTTACACCTGTTTAATTAATTAACAACACAGCAACTTTAACAGGGTAATGCGGTCCAGAGAAAAATGTTACATTATGCACTTGACATTTCATTTAAAAATTTTCCTTAGAACTAAAAGGTTTCATTATAACAAAAATTTCAAATGTACTTTATTAAACCTGATTGCTAATTAGAGCCTAAGTAATTATAAAGAAATTGCACTACTGATATCCAACCATATTTTTGGGATATACTGACATATTACTTTCTTTAAAAAATATTCATCTCTAGTAAAAATAATTGCATGTAGGCATTATCCTCTGTTTTCTCTAAGATATCATGGAAGACAGAAAAGGGCTGGGCCTATGTGTAAGAATCCTTGAGGCGGCAGTACTAACTACTTAATATTGAGACTCAATACCTAGGTAACTTTCTGGTTAAAAATATTTGTTAAGATAGGTGATAACTGGCCTATTTTTACATTAACAATTGAGATAAAACTACAGACTATTAGTCAATGTTTAGGGGACACAGAACCAACTTCTCAAAAAAGTATGTTTTATATCCACTATATCATTATTATTTTAGATGACTACCTTTTCAGGTTAGCATAATCTGTTACTGGTTTCTTCTTCTCTATGTCTGAGAATTTCCAGGGCCTTGAGGTGAGCTCATCAGCTAACTGACGAGCAGGAGCAAATCCAGGGCTGTGTTCAGGACAACAGGACACATGCGCTGGGGCCTGACAGACAGGGTTTCCCCGTTCACCTGTCACTGTGGAGTTGGCCTAATAGGAGTGAGCCTTCCATGTCCTGACAATCACATACTAACAAAAAAGGCTTGTGGAAACTCATTTAATTAGACACATTGAGGTACTAGTGCTGGTAGGAGTTTGTCTACAAAGATTTTCCATCGTCTGTTATTATACATTCTTTTTTGAGGTACAAAACTTGGTTTTAGCTGTTATTAACAGAAGTATTTCCCTTGGGATCTTTCTCCACCAAAAAGTTATCCATATAATTATTTTGAAAGGATCTTCCTAATTTGGGGAAGACCTTAATACACACACACGCTCACATCAATGTTAAAGTAAAGCACACAGACTGTGGGCCTCCTGTGTGGACACTGAACGCCATCCATCCTGTGGGTTCAGTCACCAATGCACATGTTGCTGATGACAAATCAGGGGAGTCCCTTTGCTTCTGTGGCATCTCCAAAGCTACCCTTGCTATGACAGTTTTAGACTTTCCCCACCATGCTCATTTCATTTGGATTTCAACGTTTCCTCCCACTCAAGAGAAGATTCGGAGTTCTTGGGAATTGCTGGAAATACTGATTGCAGTTTCATTCGAAAGTCTTTCATCTGAAAGAAGAAAAAAAATCAGTTATCAAAATTAAAAGAAGGGGAGGGCGCCTGGGTGGCTCAGTTGGTTAAGCGACTGCCTTCGGCTCAGGTCATGATCCTGGAGTCTCGGGATCGAGTCCCACATTGGGCTCCCTGCTCAGCAGGGAGTCTGCTTCTCCCTCTGACCCTCTTCCCTCTCGTGCTCTCATTCTCTCTCTCAAATAAATAAAATCTTGAAAAAAAAATTAAAAGAAGGGGAAAAGAGCCAAAGCAATTAGAGAGAGACCCTGTTGCTGCCCGAATGATACTTCATTGCTTGTGGGTACAATAAAAGGTAGAGACTGCTCTCGCTACCTTAAAAGGAAATGAGACACCTCTTTTCTTCTTCCAAGTATTAATCTATGGGCTTTCAATTAACATAAAACACCATTCTGAATCTGGAAGGCAACATAATTTAAATTGCCAACCCTCCATGATATTTATTTCCTACCAGAAGAATGCTATGTATTGTTGGCTTTCATATGTTTATAGATACAGCTGAGAATGGGAGTTCTGGGGTTTCTTTTTTTGGGGGGGGGTTCTGTTTATCTTAAATATACCAAGAATTTTGGAGCCAAAAGGAAGAAGGGGAGAGAAGAAACTCAGTAGGAGGTTAATAAAGAATGAACCAGTGGATGGCAGATAAACTAGAATGTTCTCATATGCCAGACAGCGTTGAAGAATCTGTGTAGAGGTTTTACCGGCAGAGGTGGATTTGGAACCCAAGAGCTGGAGCAGGGGGCTGAAGATCTTCAATATGCAGTGTCAGCCCAGAGCACCTGGCTCCAGGTACAGAGCGCACTGCCCGAAGGGAGGGCAACACTCATTTATGGGAGTTGGATAATCTTTACATTAGATAGTCCCAGCCACACAGTTTGATTCATTATTTTAATCTATCTGGTCCTGCTGTGAAGGTATCACTTCAGCACTACAGCGCCACGTTATGATATTCTCATCAGCCACATCCTAACTGCATTTCTCAAGGATACGGATCCCCTCGATCAGATCTGTGAAGCACCTTGGACTCACTGACAACACCAAGTCATTTCCTGGAGTGGTCATTTTGAGAGCTGGCTAATGTTTTTTTATTTCACTTTGTTTTGAAGCCGATTCCTTACTTTGTTTCTAAATTCAGCAAGTGGGTCGTGTTCAGGACTTGTCAGTTCCTAGGCATTCGCTCCAGCTATTAGCAGCACGGACTCTGGGATCAGACAGACCTCTCTGATCAAATCCTAACTCCACTACTTGGGAAAACTGCTTCCTCTCTCTAAGCAGTAGATTCCACGTGTGTAGAATGGCGATCATTACCTGCTTACAGGGTGGTGAGGATGAAAGCACAGTACCTACCACATGGGGGCGCTCAATATATATTAGCTATTGTCATTATAGCATCATTGGCGTTGTGTTCCAAAAACAAAGTTCACATGGATATATATAATATGGTGGGTTTGTTAAAAGCATTACTTTATAGTTCAATATCATTTTGGTCTAAGTATTCTGACATTGGGAGATCCATAAGGTTACCCATTCTATGTAGTTTGTAGGAGGTCCATGCCAACCATCTCAACATTTGGGTCCCAGACACCAGTACTCAAGACACACACGTCCGTGGCGCATATGCCTCTCCCTAGCCCTGTCTCCCATGTAACTCTCTAGCTTGTACTGTGGTGAATCCTTCATGAGAGGTTGTCGACTAGAGGCAGTACTGGGGAGGGATTGGAACTGTAGTTCCAAACAGCAGTTCTCAAATCGTGTCATGCCATTTTGGTTGTCATAATCACAGGGAACTGCTATTTGCGGGGGTTGGGGGGGGAGAGATTCTAAATATCTAACATATTGCTTTGGGGACACCTGGGTGGCTCAGTCGGTTAAGCGTCTGCCTTTGGCTCTGGTCATGATCCCGGCGTCCTGGGATCGAGCCCCGCATCGGGCTCCCTGCTCAGCAGAGAGCCTGCTCCTCCCTCTCCCTCGTGCTCTCTCTCAAATAGATAAAATCTTAAAAAAAAAAAAAAAAGAATTGCGTTGTCTAAAATACCCACATGGCCCCGCTGAGGAATCTTTTGCATAGACTTTCTCAGTTCAAAGACATCTCTGGCCGGGGTCTGCAATGTGCTGCCTAGTTCTTTCCCTTCACCTTTACTGGTTGAACGTCTGTCACAACTAAGCCTAATGACAGTTTTCAAACGGGGAGTCAGAGAGTGAGGTCATGAAAAGGATCATTTACCATTTCACCTTCTCAGGGATGTGGAACATGGGCAGTTGCTGAGAAGGGAGAAGCTGGGGAACGCAGATGAGGTCTGGGGAGGAGTAAAAGAGTCACTGCTCTGCTCTACTTCAGCATGGGGACCTGTGTTCCCGTTTCCTCCTCTTGGACTGGTTTTTTTTTTCCTTGTCTTTAATTTCCCAAGTATTGTATCATTTACTTGCTCCCAGAGTCATAAATGAGTTACTGAACCACCGGAAGGAATCGTATCTGAAAAAGAGCCAATTAAAAATAGGCTTCAAAGAGAAGTAAAGGAAGGGAGGCAAGTGGATAAAGAACACCATTTAGGCCTCTTAATTTTACAGCTGTGGAAATGGAAACCCAGAGTCCACATTTAGGTTATAAACAGGGCCTCATGTTGCCTTAAGGGTTTCCACAGCAGGTTTTTAAGTTTGTCCTATTTTTGTTATATGGATAGGAAATTAAAACTTTTTTTCTTTTTACCTCTGTCAATTTCTGATATGCAGTTCAGAGGTGTTGGTCTTATCAGTGATACTCTATCACAGGCCAACAGAAACTTCTGCTTAAAAATGTGCTTGAAAAGATTTAGGGGTTGAGTTAATTTAAGCAAATTTAATTATAACACCAATGTACTGGATTCCACAATAACAATGACAGCTATTGCCATAAGCCATGCCCTACCTTGTATCCCAAAAGTTTGGTGAGGATGGGGCATGCTGGGAACTAGTCTCTATCCAGTAACTCAGTTTTACTCTGCAGCATTTTGCAAACTCTTGGATCTCTTCTCTCCTCTTCCCTCTTTCCTCTGACCAGGGAGAATCTGACTGTGGCTATGGGTCACAGGGCTACCCTTCTAAACAGGGCCACTGTGTGTACAGCACAACTCCAGGCGCTGCCCTCCACAAAGGCAGGAATGGCACCCCCTGGGCAATGAGCCTACTGCTCAAGAACCTCATCCTTAAGTCCCAATGTTTGTGTCCAACAGTGATGGGTTGTCATATGATCAGAAAGTACTGCTTTCTAAAGGCAGTTCTCAAATACAATGTCATGACAATTGGGAAACCTATTATAAGTACTTCGTCACCAGTACGGACATTCTGAAGACTGGGTAGGAGCAACTTTTTAGGTATAAGAACAGATTCAAGATTATGCCTCTAATAATCTTACTCTCATTCACATTGCAACAGCTTTTTGAAGGGCCATTATAGCTAGTATGCCAGGAGTGAAACATGGGATACCGCTGCACATTTATCACGCTCGTCTTGGCAGGAAAAACACATGAAGACTTTTTGGTCTAATATATGGTGTGCTGAAAAACTCCTTAAAAGCTCAGGACATGTACCCAATTAATTTGAGAAAATCCTTACAGCATCTATTCTTAAAAAAATAAGCAGTTATTGGAATTAAAAGCTCAAGTTGTAAAATGTCTTTGCCATTGACTAGCTCATTTAACTTCAATTACCTCTTGCAGGACTTCAGTGCTGGAGGTAGAATGATGAAAGCTTTACAGGACCAACTGGTAAGAAAGCCTTTGGATATGTCAATAATTATGGTGCCAAGAGTAATTTTGACGAACCTGGAAATTCATCTTCTCCATAAAATAGAGTAAGACTATAACTGTTACTTGAACAGGAATAAAAATGTCTGCCATTTGAGATTACCTAGGTGCCAGGCACCGTACCAAGCATCAGGCTATTATTTAGTGTTTATAATTCTATGTGGCAGAAATAAGAACCACCACTTTACATACGAGAAACCAGAGGTCAGAGAGGTTAACCCAGCCATGGTGATGTGCTTTCTAAGTACAACTGACTGAATGATGTCCCGGGCTTTCTCCATAGCCACTCTGGTTCTGTGACCTGGAAAGACTTGGTACCTCTATAACCTCTATTCACATACCAGCTTACACAAAAAAGGACTTCAAAAGCATATTTACTCTTACAGGGGCTACCATTTTATTTAGAATGGTATGGCAGATTATTATCAATGTTCACTGATAACCAGAAATCACGTACTTCTCGATATAGGGAGGTTATACTTCTCCACCCTCTTGAAGTTAGGTAACCACATGACTAGTCCTGGCAAAAGAAATGTGCATCACTTGCAGGGTGAAGCATGTAATTGCAGCTGTTTCCAGGCCACTCTTACCTTTCCATGGAAATAATGGAAACCTGTGTTACTACAGAGGTGCCTCAAGATCCAAACAATCTGAGGTATGAAGCCACCTTGTGTAGGACAGATCCCCTAGAGACTCAAGTAAACCCACAGTGGATTTTACAAGAGAAATAAACCGTTGTTATTTTAAGCCACACATCTGGAGACTGTTTTTTCAATATAGTATAACCCAGCCTATCCTGACTGACATAACGAAGAGAATTACAAAACAGACCTAGGGCATGCTCTGATCCCCTTCAAAATTACACTGAACTTGGCTGAAACATGGCTGAATAAAAACTCAAGGGCTGGACAAAGGGGAAGAGAAACTCTGTGCAGTTAAGCTTAAACAGCTCTTAGAACCAGCTGGAACCACCAAACCACCATTCTTCCCACTTTCAGAGAGCTCAGTACATCAATTAGTCCCATTATATGATACTACTTCCCGGGTAATCAGAACATTTCTAGATGTTTCCAATAAAATAGTATGGGAGTTCTGATCACTATGGTAAAGGGTCATTTTTTGGGGTGGATTGCTGTCCTAGGTCTATCAACTAAGCAGGACTGGCTTTATTTTATTTTTTAAAATTTATTTGTCAGAGAGAGAGAGAGAGAACAAGCAGGGGGAGCAGCAGGCAGAGGGAGAAGCAGACTCCCTGTGGAGCAGAGAGCCCGATGTGGGACTTGATCCCAGGACCCTGGGATCATGACCTGAGGCAAAGGCAGACCCTTAACCGACTGAGCCCCCCAGGCGCCCCAGGACTGACTTTAGAGAGGAGATGCTGATACCTTTCAATTTTGTTTAGCCCTGCAGATATCCACATGGATCCTGAGATATGTTTGAACACACCGTTATTATTTAATATTCAATTGCATTAGGAAAGCTAACATGAATTTAAAAATCTTTCTCAGGGTGCCTGGGTGGTGCAGCTGGTGAAGCATCTGACTCTTGGCTTCAGCTCAGGTCGTGATCTCAAGGTCGTGAGATGGAGCCCTGTGTCAGGCTCTGTGCTCAGCAGAGTCTGCTTGAGATTCTCTCTCCCTATACCTCTGCCCCTCCTGCTTGTGCTTGCTCTCTAAAATAAACAGATCTTAAAAAAAAAAGTCTTTCTTATTTTTCTAAGTTATTAGTGCATCATTTAGGTAAAGGTCTGACAAGCATCTTCACTTTCTCCTAAACCCACACTATATCACATGCATAAAGTCTAGAATCTATAGTAAAGTCAATTGATTTAGGAATAAAAAGTGAATGTGTAACTTTCTGAGAAATAAAATCCTTGAAGTACTCATTAAAATAACCAATTTTTATGACAATGATTAACAACAGGACAAAATTCAAAAACAAAAGCTTTCTGTTAATGTGAAGTAAACTGAGCAACAGGGATGATCCTGGAGCATCTTAGGGCCAGGGCCCACTCTGCTGATAAGACCGGGCCTAACAAGAACAGTCTGTAACAGCTTCCTCATTTAATGTGCTAACAGGTCAGGACCTCAGAGCCAGTTCTAAAATAATTTTAGTCAGCCTTTGTTTTTATCAACTCCAAAATTTAAGTATGTTTCCTTTCCCTGCTGAATAAATGACAGTAACACTTGCCATCTCTGTCAGGCCTCTTTCTAAAAGCTTTACATTTTACTGCATTAAACACTTTATAAGTGCTACCAACCAGATCACTCCTATTTTCATATTTTAACCTAATGATCCTGCTTCACTGGCATCCATACATGAGCATGTGTGTGCATGCGCCCCTCCCCCCAACAAACAGGACCTACTCACAGCCTCCATTTTATAATGCCTTTTTTTAAGGCCCAGCTGATAGTCACTGGGGAATGAAGACAGCCGATGGCTCCATTACAGAAAGTACTTCTGTATGTACATTTATTTTTACATTGTAGAGGAAGTTACAACGCCTTAAAAACGGTATATAAATGAACACAGCAAGTATAAGCCATCCAGAATGAAAGAGCATGTACTTAACGAAAATTATCACTTCTGTAACACAAACACCTATATCCTAATCCCTTTTGGACCAAAGAGCAACTGCAACCAACACACACAGAGCAAGTACTGGTACATTAGTGGTACAAAAACACCTTCTTTGATGCAATCATTGAATCATTGTGGGGAAAAAAAAATCATCCTGACATCTGGATACTAAATGAAAAAGCTGGGGGGCTAAATAAACAGGTAACTCACTCTACCTCCTTTCCTGTTTCCAACTCCTAGAAATTCAAACTTCTAAAAAAAAATTGGACATACAAAACCCTCTCACTACTATCCCGTCAGTAACTTCAAGAAGGTAGTTTCAAGCAACTTTAAAGCTTGAGCTATTCTGGATTTCCCAAAGTGTTTCTGCACTCTTCTTCAGACAAGCCTGTTCTTCAGAGGTCAGCTTTACCTTTACAAGGTCTGCAATACCACTCTCTCCCAAAATACATGGAACACTGAGGAATACTTCTTCATGTATCCCATAGAGACCCTTAATTATGGTGGAAACCGATGCACTCTTCTAAGATTCTTCAAAATACTTTCTGTTAAATCAGCTACAGAAAGGCCAATGGCCCAAGAAGTATAACCTTTCATTTTAATAATCTCATAGGCAGGAGCAATCACGTCTCTGTGGACGTTCTTCCACCGCTCGGGATCTTGATCAGCTCCCGTATCTGAGTTCAGATTCTTCAGAGGGACACCAGCGACGTGCACTCCACTCCACACAGGAACACTCGAGTCTCCATGCTCCCCAAGGGCCCACCCATGACAGCTTTCAGAGTGGATACCAAGCTTCTGCCCAATCAAGAAACGGAAACGGGCAGTGTCCAGGTTACCACTTCCGATAACACGGTTTTGGGGAAATTCACTCAACTTCCAGGTCACATAAGTTAATATATCCACTGGATTGGAAACAACAATCATTTTGCAGCGAGGGCTATACTGGGTGATGCTGGAAATCATTAATTTAAAGATGTCCACATTTCGCTGGACTAAATTCCTGGCGTGCCCCTGCTGTGATGACCACGAGGCTGGAGTTTGCAGTGACAAGGTAATCTCTGCTGGACACAATAGTCGGCATTTTCAAGAAAGGGCTGCCATGCTGAAGATCCATGGTCTCACCCTTCAGTTTGTCTTCATTAACATCCACAAGGGCAAGTTCATCGGTCAAGCCCCTTAACAGGATGCGATAGCACAGGCCACGCCAACTGATCCACATTATATCCTATAATGGAGACCTTGCTGTGATGAACGGCCTCCTCGGAAGTGAAATTCTTGATAAGCTCACCCCTGACGGTTGCCATCTCGGACACGGGGGTGACCGCCCAGGCGCCCGTGAGCGGGAGGCCCGCCGGCCGGCAGACACACGACGAAGTCACCCTCCCAGCGCCCACTCTCCGGCCGGCCCGCAGGACTCCCACAGCCCAACTCATGGCCACTTACTCCGGAGGCGGAGGAAGAGAACCGGGGGAAGCGACAGACAAGCTCTGAGGCGCGAGGGAAGGCTGCGAGCAACCGTTACACGCCCCCTCCACCTGCTACTGCGGCTGCGCAAGCCCGGGGCTGTGGGGAGGCCCCTCAGTCCACTACTGCGGCTGCGCAAGGCTGTACGGTCGGAGGGCCCCCGCAGCCCCTACTGCGGCTGCGCATGGCGGCAAGCCTGCGGGGCATCTCAAGGGCCTCCAGGAAAGTACTTGCCTCGGACTAGGGTGGGAAAAGGGCTTCTCCAGCAAACGAATTCTGAAGTGAAAATTTTATAAACACAAATTCTCTTCAGTCTTTAACGTATATAATGGCTCAACACAGATCCCTGGGATTACTGATTTTCTATTTTTGCTACAGATGCCAAGTAAAAATAATCCCAATAAGTACAGATAAAAATAGGGTTAAGTTTTCTGAACTGCATCCCTGTAGGGAAGAATAAGGTGTGTGTTCTGTCTCCAAATGGCCGCCTTCACCATTTCCCTGCATCTGTAAGAGAAGTCGGGCTCCTGTTTCATGTTGTATCCAATTTGAGAACTTTTATTTGGAAAGGTCCCACTGCCTTCCTACCAGTCACGACCATGACCCACAACTGTGGGGAAGTCACAGCAGCTGACAACAGGGGAAGTGGCCGACTGTGCGCTGGCCAGTCCAACAGTGAAAACTCACGGCGAGACGCTGTTACTTCTTGCTCATGCCGAAGGAAAGCTTGTGATTCAGAGTCCTGATTAAAAACGACTTCTCAAGTCGGAAGGTGGGGAGGTAGCCTTCTATTAAAATGAAGATAGATCTTAAATGTCCTTAAAATGGCAAATTTTGACCAACGCACAAATCAGATAACTGATTAAAACAGTAAAAACAAATACTAGCCAGTACACAACAGGGCCGTCAGTATATCTTGCCTTACTCTGCATTTCTCTGGTCAGTCTTACGAACTTCCTTGGAAGTTACTAAGAAGATAGCAGCTTTACATCTGATGAAATATAAATAAAATATAGACCCTAATAAACCCAGTAAACTACAGAAGTCCAAATAAAAATAATGGCACTTCCTCCCCACTTATAAATAGAATTCTGACCATGTAATCATTCCTCAAAGTTCTCCTCTCCTTCTAAGCGAGCAATATGCTCTTCCTTAATAGGGCTCTTAGGATTCACGGCCCCCTCCCAGTCAGAAAACAAACAAGCAAAAGGATTTCAGTTTCAGAACACCAAATCTTGACAAAATGAATATTTCATATTTTGGACTTGGAAAGCTATTCTTTCTGCCACTGAAATGCCATCCAGAATGACAGGAATAATAAGCAAAGGAGTTGGTGAGGGGTGGAAAAGTGTGGCTATTAGTGGAGTTCTGGCAATCCTGTTTCAGTGTGACTCAGCACTCTAGCAGGGACCAGACACCCCGTTTAGAGAGTATGGGGTCACAAGCTCCATGACACACACAATGGTGAGAGCACCACATACATGAGTCCTCTCCACAATGGTGGTCAGATTTATGGTAACCATTTGTCAAGCTGAAAACTGGAATTTTTAAAATGATCATCTTTATTTAATGATGGCTAACATCTTAGAGGGATCCTTTTAAAAGACCAACTTTTGATAGTTTCTTTTATCCCAGTCATAATCGTAATGTTTTAACCTGATGCCTGTTCCCACCTTCTTCCCATAATGATTCCTTTGACCATTCAAGTCATTTTCTAAGGTAAGTGTTCTTGAGGATGAAATTCAAGCACATAAAGACTCTTAGCTAGATGACTTCTTTCTAAAGTAGTTTTCTTTCTAGAGTTTGAACCTCTTCAGAAATAAAATCTCTGACAGCTGCCTCTTCAGTTTTTCTCCTTAGCCACAACTAAATCAATCTTGAGAAAATAACACTCTCCAAAATAAAAATACCTCAAACAAAGCAGCTTTTTATTTACAGTAAGTCTTGAGATAAGAAGGGAAGAACTAAGAAAGACAAAGAGAGGTACATGACCTCCAGAGCAGATTTAGGTCTACTCAAAGATGTGCAAAGCTAAATACAGCCAGACAGCTCCCTAATGACCCGTCTTCGGTGGCTCTTTATTCCTTTTGAATGGAAAACCTAACTCAAATTATCTACTCAAAATACAGCATAATATTACAGCTGATGGCAGGATTTGGCTTGATTATATCACTTAGGAGGGAGGAAGCAGGAAATGAAGATGACCAGCAATGGTTGCAATTAAGTCATTCTATTCTTTCGGCCTAGACTCTCACCCCCAGCCCCCCTGCCCTTTTCCTATCTAGGAGTCTGGTTCAAGTATTCCTCTGTCTTCCACAATCCCCCAAGCAGAAGTGCCTTTTAAAAATCCTACGCCACCAGTGTCTTTTGTACCTCTCTCCATTGTAGGATTTATCACACATTATTAAATGTAATTACTTGGGAATTTGTCACTCCAAAGAGATCACCTTGTATTTAGAGCCCATCACTACCCTCTAGGACAGAGCTCGGTGAGTGAATTCAGTAAATATCCACAGTAGAAGAGAACAAGTATAGAACCCAGTGAAGTAAGGCTAGAGGGCAGAAAGGAGAGAGAAATGGGAAGGCACAGCTGGAGAATCCACCTGGTGCCAAAGTTCTAAGTTAAGGGGTAGGTAAAATGTGTAGTGCCTGTTTGGGGTTTCTTAGCAAGGCTGATGTATAAATTTCAGATAAAGATATGGATAAGCTAAAAGATTTAACTGTTTTCAAAGCCAAAGCCAATACCTACCAAGTCAGAACATACAAAAAGAAAGAAATTCTACAGTGCTAGAAACACAGTAAAACAAATATGCAATGGCAGAGAGAATATTTTCATTCTTAAAAAAAAAATGTTTTGTTCTTTGGAAAGCTTTTAAAAAATAACCACTGTACAAAACTCTTGATATGAAAAAAAAAAAAGGCGAGCGAGAGAGAAGCTGCAATGAAAGCAGTATTAATTAATATTATAAGCTATAAACTTACCAGCAAGCAGAGCATTATATAAACATAATTATTTTAAAAGTCTTCTTTGAGTGATTTAAAAATCATAAAATGCAAATTGTAGTTTTAAAACGAATTAGTGGGCTATGCTTCTATTGCTCTTGTACTAAAATCTTTATAACTTTGTAATCCTTGTGCAGGGGTCTTTACAAATACCAGCACCTTAAAGCATTTTCCTTTGTCAGTGATACCAGGAATGCTGGGGAGGGACAAAAGTAGGGCCACAAAGCTAGGTTTCCTGATAAAAGCAGACTGTCAAGTCAAAACACTGCAATCAACTGCCATTGATGGTATTCAAATATCGTAACAGGAATTGGCATGTTCATCTAACAAAGTACCCAAATCTCACTTCTTCTGTTCTTTAAAGGCATCCTCTACATATAATTTTTGATGTACTTAAAAGAGCCACATGTATTAGTCATTCAAAAGGAAATATTTTAATGAAGCACAAAACATGAAAAACAAAGAAACTAAAACTCACTGGTAGGTGTTTAAATATCCCAAATCGTAGCTTAAAACAGACAAAGCCAAATTTTATGGATTTAGGCTCTAACTGCATAGGTGCAGTTTTATTAATTCACTCCAACTATTCTCTGCAGTTGGATTAATAGAAATAATACCGTGGTCCTTGATAACAGTTCTAGTCATATGAAGAATATGTTTGTACACGGAAGTTACCTTCAATTTAGGTAAAGACTTAAATTTACCTAAAGATAGAAACTTACATTACCTTTACAGTCTCAAAACTGCCAGAACGGATTAACTCCCTGTTGTAACGGTTAGAAATTAGTTTGCCTCAAGACCCCATCTAGGAAAGAACAGAGCCAGCAGCAGGAACAGTAGGAAGAGGAAGGAGTGTTCAGTGGGGACATCAGCAAGGACAAGGCTCACAGGCTAGAAGAACATGGCCTTTCAGCAAGGCTGGAACTCTTGAGTGCAACAGACAACCAGCCAGACTCTCAAGCGCAGCGCTGCGGACATTTGCACCAGATCCCTCCCTGTGCGGCCTGTCTTGTGCAGCGCAGGCCGCTGAGCTGCATCCCCGGCCTCTATCCACTAGATGCCAGCAGCACCCCCACCGTTGTGACAACCAAAAATGTCTGTGGATGTTGCCAAATATCTTTCTTCTGTGGGGAGGGGAAGTCAAAATGCCCCCATTAAGAACCAGTGGGTTAAAGAATAAGTAGGGGCCAGATCACAGAGGGACCAAACCATTTCAAGGAACTTGGACTGTATTCTCAAGGGAAGAGTGAGCCATTGAAATGCAGAAACTGTGATCAGATTTCATCCAACAGGTGTTTACTGGACACATCCTCTGTGCTAGGCACTCTTACAGGTGCTAAGGATATGACAATGAACAAGACAAATGAGGTCTCTGTTCTCTTAAAATTTACATTCTTTTTGTGAGGACACATAAAACAAGAAAATGGTCAATATAACTTCATTTTGCAATTGTGCTGTGTAAAGAAGAAAAGAGGATACTGTCAGAGAGGAACTGGGTGGTGGGAGTAAAGAGGCTACTTTGTTTTAGACCAGATGGTCTGGGGAAGCTTCTCTGAGGAGATGAAATAAAACTGGGCTGAAACTCTAAATGCCAACAGAGAGCCACCACGCGAAGACCTGGGAAAGGAGTCCCCTAGAAAAGCTGGAGGACGGTCCCTCAGTGGGGAGGCCGGTGTGCCGCATGGCGGGGTGGGAGAGTGTGGGGCAAGAGGAGGTCAGTGGGGAGGTGGGGCTATATCTCGCGAGTCTTTTTTTAAAAGATTTTAAAAATTTTTATTTATTTAACAGAGAGAGAAAGAGAGAGAGAGAGAGAGAGAGGGAGAAAGAACAGCAGGGGGAGCGGCAGGCAGAGGGAGAAGCAGGCTCCCCGCTGAGCAGGGAGCCCGATGCGGGGCTCGATCCCAGGCAAGTGGGTCTATGGGCAAGGAGCTCAGAGGTCAACTAGAGATGCAGGCCCGGCAGCCTTCTGAGTGTGGATGAAGCCACCGGAGCAGATGGACCCTATGAAGGAGAAAATTTAAGGGCAAAGCAAGGAATCTAGCATAAAACATATAAAATAAGGCAGCAGCATTTCAGAAGTAAATGGAATAGTGGGAAGGAAAAAATAAGAGCCAAACTAGGATTGAGAAAAATTACAAAAAGAATAAAGAACTATAAAAGGCCAGAATCCATTAACACAAGAAGCAAACAATAACTGATATATCTAAGTCATCAAAACCTAGTGAAATTACATTCGGCACAGTCTACATTGTGGAAAGATACACAGCATACACAGCACATTAAAAAAAAAGATTTCTTCTTAAAATTGTTAGAAATTATTCAGTTAGGAAAATTCAATTTGAGTGACCACTTCATTATTGGGTATACTGGTAAATGAATAATAATATATATAAATATATCAACATACACATATAAAAATGTTTTACAGATTCTTAGATATTTCTAAGTGACCAACCAATAACAGGTACCTTACACAGCAAAGCGTAGGGGGGAAGCGTAGGTTACCAGGTCTTCACTCCACAGTGCTTTATTTAGAGAGATCTGTTCATGTGAGTCCAATTTTCTATGCTCGGTATTAGAAATAAGGACAAAGAAAAAGAAAACCCAAATGAAATCAAGGATACTTCTCCTCGAGTGGAATAAGGCTGGGAACATTCCTGAGGTGATTAAGCCTGATTTGTGTCAGGCTTTGGAACAAGGCTTTCATGGCAGAGCTTATCTTCTCTAGCAATTGTTGCACATTCCCACTTTATAAAATGCTTGCAGCCCTATTTTACTTATAAAAGGAAACTGGTGGGTTTTTAGAAGAGGTATTTTGGCAATATGCCAAAAAAAAAATTGGCTTTTTTTTCCCCTGCCCCCTTGGCTTAGGCCAACCTTAGCCCCCCCCAACACAGAAAACAAAAGACGACATTGGTCATACCTCCCATTTTAACATGAGCAAGTCCCTGTGATTTGGTCTCTGTCACCAAACTGCCCTTCAACATTACATCGAGTGCCTCTTACCACCAGATGCCAAGCCCATTAGAGCTGCAGTGAATGGGAAATAAGGGTTATAGAGATGTTCTTGTCACCTCAGACCTAAATTTAAGTGATGCACAGTGCCACTTCCAATTAATTTAAAAATGATTCCAGGAATATATTCCTCAATGCTTACACTGTTTGAAGGCCCTCAGCTTGACAGAACTATCTGTGCAAGATCATGATGACTCTGTGTTCTGGGTGTTCTAGTAAGTACTATCAGCAAGTGGAAGTGAAGCCGGGTCTGCTGACGTTATGGTAATCAGAGTAAGGAACTGAAGTTTGCTTCCTGGGGACAGAAGCTGGTAGAGACGTTTGGAAGCTCTCAAATTAGATGAGGCAAGGACGCAGAAGGGACACATTTCAGTCACTTTTCAGACTTCCCCTGCAGATCTCTCAGAAGTGGTTACCATTAAACAATTTGCCAGAAGGATTTGTTTTTAACCTTTGACTGAAACCAAAGAAAAGTACAAAGCATACAGTCTATTTCTTAGATATCTCAGACGTTAAAAACTTCTAAGCCTTTTCATAGTTTTATTTACATATGTGGTTCTAGCATTCACCTACAAATGTTGCTTCACTTGAGACAAATAACTTAAAAACTGTGTAGGAATAAACATATTTAATACAAGATCTACCAGATGTTGAAATTAGCAAAAAGTCAAAAGAGATTTTACTGTAATTAGCAAAAGTCCTCAAAGCTGGTCATAAGGTCATTAAGAAATGAGCATAAACCCGGGGAGCCTGGGTGGCTCAGTCGTTAAGCATCTGCCTTCAGCTCAGGTCATGATCCCAGGGTTCTGGGACTGAGCCCCGCATCGGGCTCCCTGCTCAGCGGGGAGCCTGCTTCTCCCTCTCCCACTCCCCCTGCTTGTGTTCCCTCTCTTGCTGTCTCTCTCTGTCAAATAAATAAAATCTTTAAAAAAAAAAAGAAATGAGCGTAAACATTAACATAAAAAGTATACTTAGCAGCAGCTACCAAAAAGAGCTGGAGAAAATACATTTTATTAGAATGAATCTAATATTGTCCTAAAGGAAAGCTGTATTACTTCTCTTAAAGAATCTTTCTTAGAGTGGCGCCTGGGTGGCTCAGTCGTTAAACGTCTGCCTTCGGCTCAGGTCATGATCCCATGGTCCTGGGATCAAGCCCCACATCGGGCTCCCTGCTCTGCGGGAAGCCTGCTTCTCCCTCTCCCACTCCCCCTACTTGTGTTCCCTCTCTCGCTGTCTCTGTCAAAAAATAAATAAAATCTTAAAAAAAAAAAATCTTTCTTAGTATAGGAAAGACAGATGCCAATTTTTGGAGAAATATTTAAGATGTGTTTTATTTACATGTTTTATTTTTTGTTCTTAAAGAAACGGAAGCCTGGACTCTTGAGCAAGAAGCAACCTCTATCAGTAGATCAGGAGGCGACTGAGGCTGGAGAGATGTGTGACTTCTATCACAGATTATCTGCATAAAAGCCCTGAGAGATGCAGTAAAGGAAGGAGGAGATTATTTTCCATCTATCAGATTGGCAAACATTTCAAAGTAAAAGAAGCCACTAATGGCGAGGGTGCTAGGAAACCTGTATGCACTGTCAATAACTTCTAAACGTATAAATTCTGTGCTTAGCAATGGATATCAAAAACAGTTTTATATACCCCTGGATTCAACAATAACATCATTTGTCTTTAGGACAAATTTCCTGACCAAGAAAAGTACAAAAAGATGCATGCCTACAGAGGTTCACTATGGTGTTTCATAGTGAAAAATTATAATCTAAATGCTCTTGGCAGGAGA